TAGTCAGCTCGTTCCGGCGTTGATCCAGTAAATTCATAGCTCTTTAAAATACAGAACCAGTTTGTTTTTCCTCCTACAAATCCATATGCATTTGCATTTATCTGGGACAGTCTTGCCCGATCTCCTGCTGCGTGCCAGCTTGCCTGATTTTGAGTGACCTCTGGCTTCTGCAGCCATCGCTGAGGTGTTTTTGTCCCGTGCTCTGGTCGCCCGGGCAGGGTGAAGGAGGGGGCTCGCCTGCTCTTCCAGGTGGCTGCCTAGGTTTAAGTAACGTGAGGCCTTGAAGCTACTTGCTGGGGTGCAGGGTTAAATTGCCAGTGTTCAAATATCACGGGCAACGGCAGGTTGCGGCCTGGGAAGAAGACAGATATCTAGAAAGTGACCTGGCTCCAGCAGGGTCTTTGCATGGGCAGGAGGAAGGGAGCAACTCGCACTTGAGCTCGGGGCAGCTTTGGGCTCCTTTTACACCCACTGATCGGTCGTGCGGCTGAGGAGGGCAAAGCGAGCCACTGGCCACTGCGCCCCTTTCCCTTCGGGAGCGGACGCTCGAGGAGAGGAGCAGAAGCAGCATGGAGGGTCCTTCCTTCCCTGCGCCGCCAGTCCTCAGAGAGCGACGGCTCTCCGGCTCCTCTCCCTGCCAGCAGCCTGGGACGAGGGTCCTGCTGCGGTGCCACGGCCCTAGGGAAAGGGGTATAAAGAAGCGGAGGAGGCTGACGGGGGCCCATGTAGATGTGGAGGGCAGAGCTGGTGGTGATGGGACGGGTAGGCACAGTTGGGAAGGCAGCAGAGAGGAGGTGTTCAGGTGTGGAGCTGGTGACGTGCCTGTTTCCTCGGGACACCCTTCCTGCAGGCCGCTGTGATGCTGAGGAGCGACTGCTTCTCGTCTGTCTGTCCACTTTGCAGATCCGGCACGGCTGGTTCCTTACCTCGTGCCCCCTGCCTCGCTTCTTGGCTGGCTTCTGGCAGGGAGGCTTTGGGGAAGCACGAGGCACGTCCCGTCCGTGGCTGCTCCTCCAGATCCCGTCGTCCTGATGAGGAGCTCGGTCTGGGCATCGCCTCTCCCCCCGCGGTCAGGTGGCCTCGGGCTGCAGCCATGCTCCTGTGTCGCAGCACGGCTTTAAAAAAGGCTCTTTGTGGCCCTTGCAGCCCCCTGGCCCTGGGCAGTAGCAGATGATTTGACTGAGAGAGTGCCTCTCTTTGCACCTCAGCCAACCGTCTTCCAATTCCTTCAGAAACGCTGGGTATAGACCACTGTGTCCCGCTGACTTTTTGTTCTTTAATTTCAGTTTTCCCCTCCTCTTGTGATACACCAGCATTCCCCCCACCCAGGTCTTCAAGTTAAATGGCATTAAATATTAGGGAATCTCCTCAGCGTCCTGTGCAAGAAAATAATCTGCTCGCCAGTAATTACTTAGCTTCTCTGCAGTATCCTTGTCCCCACTTGCTGGTAACCCAGTGAACTAAATAATTCCCCCAGAGGTTTTCAGTTTTTGATAAACAAAACAAACACCAGAAAACAAATGGCATTTTCAGTTTATCTTAGCTACCTGCTGTCCCAATTTCATGACAGCCATCCTAATGTAAATTTGCTCCCTACTGTCAGTAATTCATATTCCTTTATATTGGCTCCGCCAGCGTTAGCTTTTCATCTTCTGAAGGATTATGGAGAGTGTAGAAAGATTTGGGCAAGTCTATGGTTTTGTTGTGTTTTTGTACAGCGCCTCTGATCCGTGGCGGAGACCCTTGCAGGCATCACACCTGCAACTGCGCTTGCTGCATGAGCTGCGGCGTCCCCGAGCCCGGCCGCTTAGCGGTCTCCCCTCTCTGCTCCCTTGGTTGTTGGAGGTCTGCATGTTCTGTCACTTTAAGGTTTCCTAAATAACCTCTAATGACTGTGAATTTGTTTTTCACTTTTGACTTTCAGGACTAGTTTCTGTATTTTGTGTGTTGGAAATCCCCCATTATAAAACTTAAGTGTTGTGGTGCGTTTGTGCTTTGTGACCCTCGCCCCCTTCCTCCGCGGATACAATGATTGATGCTGCTTAATGGCCCGCGGCGTCTCCGAAAACCAGCCCTTCTGGAGAGCAGAGGGAGGATCTCCTCTGCGCCTGTATGCTCTGGCTTGTGTTGGTTAAACTGCCTGGGACTTTTCTGTAAGGGCTTTTCCTGCAGATGCTGTTCATTTCTTGGACTTAGCTTCTTCCTTGAATTCCTTTCCTGCTAAACGTGATGCTTTTGACGGGGAGGCCAGTCATCGCGGGGACGGCCGGCAGCGGCTTAGGAAGGCTGGCGTGGAGAAAAAAAGCACCTGCGTCGCTGGTGTGGGGACGGCGCGAGTCGGGGAGGCGGAGGAGCCGTCCCGGCGGCTGGCGGCAGAGCTGACGGACAGAAAGCGAGGCCGCGGGGGGGCGGGGCAGGGAGGGTGCGTGCCCCAGCAGCGCGCCGGGCTGCCCCTTCCCCTCCCACCGCTGCCCTGCCGTTTGCAGGGATTGTTGGCCAGAAAGGTCAGCAGCAGCTCCTCCTGAGCCTTGGCAGGGCAGCCTAAGTTGCTGCTTTGAAACTTGGTGGTAACCTGTACGGATTTCCCTTCGGCTTTTTTTGTTTTTCGTCGCTTCTCCCCGTTTATGGGGAGAACACAAATTCAGGCTCTGGAGCCAGAATTCGATAGTCCGACAGAAGCTTCCTTTTACTTGCTATAAAACAAACTATAGTTACTTGCAGCTCCTGCTATAGTCGCTGTAGCTGCTACTGCCCGGCAGCCTGCAAGTTCAGGGAAGCAATGTGGCTTCTCTGTCGCTCTGCAGTGGCGGGGTGACGGTTTCCCCCCGGCTAGTCCTATGAGGAACAAGCTGCTTAACGTGGAAATAATTGTTCTGAACTTGGCAGAGTATTTTAAAGGTGTGATGAAGCGATCCTGAAAATGGGATCTGTCTTCCAGCTCTATCGGTTAGTCCAGTCAAAGCAGTTCTCTCTCCCTCTAAACCACCACCTTTATTTTTATTTTTATTTTGTTTAAACGTGTTATGCAGAAACCAAACACGCTCGCAGACTTGCCTGCCTTGAAGAGTACCGGGAACGCACCAGACTATCCTGTGGGTCCTTTCGTTGGGTAAAGGACCTTTTAGCCTGTATCGGCAAAGCGTCACGTTAAAGCAGAAAGCGCATGTATGGCGAGAAAACGCAAAGCTGAAATGTCGCATCCCTGGAAAGGTGAGGTACCGGTGGGTTTTGAGAGGAGCCCTCCAACCCCAAGGTGGTGAGAAGAGCTCGAGGAGGACAGGCCTTTTGCAAGAGCTGTAGAAACTGGTTCCCTGAGCTCACGGGGCGGCTCTGCTGCACAGCTGTAGTACCTGGAAACGGCAGACGTCAGCCTGTGCGCGCTGCCTCAAACTTGCAGCGTTTTTATTTATTTATTTTTTTAATATCGCATCCTTGCTGAGTGCTGCTCGGGTAGGGAAGCGCGCAGCTTTGCTTTGGGGCGTGCGTGTGTTTTTTCCTTCCCCCCCCGCCATGTTCCCTCACATGTCAGACACAACGGCAGCCTCGCATCCAACTCTATTTATAGCGTAACAGATAGAGGGGAGCGCGACGTCTCCCCGGCCTGCTCTTGCGCTGGAGCAGTTGG